TGGCTGCTTGGGCTCTTCAGGAGCACCTTTAGGGTTAGGAGATGCCATTAGGAGCATGTCATCCCCAGCGGGCAAGGGGAGGTCATCACCCCACAAACTGGTTCTCTCACATTTTAAGTTAGCTCTCCCTTTCAAAAGGAGAAGAACAAAAGAAACAAGAAAAGTTGAATGAACTCCACAGCGTGCTGAACTTCAGCGTTTCATATTGTACCGGTTTCTGCTTTCCGGACAGAAAGGGAACAGCTTTCATGCCAGAAAGCCAGTTCTATCCTAAACTATTAATAACACCCGCCTAATTACAGAATCAAGCCTGGGGAACACAAAGGGCAGCATTCGCTGTTGTTAATCTGGTAGAGCAAAGCCTATGGCTGCTTTCATCTCAATATGAACGGGGAAGAAGCCGAGGTTGAGGCCTCAGCTGCAGCTTCAGGACCAAGTTCAAAGGCAAGGCTGGGGCTCTGAAAGCGTTACCGACGGTGGTTCTGCTAAGAGGAGAGGGAACAGGTGAGATCTGAAAAGAGCAGAACACCTGCACAACTTTTTGAAGAAGTAATCTGAACCTTTATTCACAGGTAAGTAAGGCTGCTATTTTCAGCAGCCGGGATCTAGAAGAAAGTACAGCAAAGAGACACGAGACGGACAACAGCAATGTACTGTCTTCTTGTGCAGTATCACAGCATGAGCCTGTCCCTGCCAAGCAAGGATAATTCTCCTCACCCCTTGACCAGCCACCTACACCTAAGCTGGCTTTCCTTCGTTTACCAGAAGAGGATTTAAAAGCTTCTGTACAGTAATGACACACGCAAACATGAAAAGACTGGATACTCCCAGCTTTCCTCCTATTCCTCGTACCAACCCAAACCAAAAGTCTCAGGGAATGTCTGCTTCCCACTCTACCAGGCCATGGGACACAAAAGAAAAAAAAAAAAAAAAAGATTTGGAAGCCCAAGCTCTGCTTGCAGCAACAGAAGTGGAATATGAGACAACAAAAAGCCATGTTCTGGAAAAAAAAAAAATAAAATTAAAATCCAGGCTTCATCCTGAACCGTGATGACTCTGCTGCAGCCAGGGATTATGGAACCGTGTCCACCAGCACTGCCAGCTCTGAAGCCTGGTTTTCTAAAATGAAGCCCTCACTGCCTCTCTGGTATTCAAAGGATACATGGAATTTCTACAGACCATTCAGAATCAGATTATCTGGAAAGCACAAGCATGCTGGCTCTTTATTAACATCTTAGCAGCTACCACCATGCCTAAAATTAAGTGGCATGTAAGAACTGTGGGTTGTGTACTTCAGCCCAGAAAAGTCCTGCCTGGTATTAGAGAAGTCTTGCTTCACTGAAGTATGATCTTCCTACCTTAGAGAAACCTGCCAAAACACTTGAACCAACTATGTAGAACAACAAAACTGGGAAGAATCATATAATATCTGCAAAAACAGAAGAACACCCCAAACTGACCTTCAGGTTATATTCTCTTGGGTAACACTGCGTTATCATACAGGGATGCTACATGAGTTTTCATTAAGAACTGCTGAAATAGATCAAACAAGAAATACAGCACCATCCCGCAACAAGCTGGAGTATAGAATTTGCAAATATCTTCTAAAGGTAGATGATGGATTCTTCACAATCAGAAAGCCATCTACTTAAAAAGAAAAAAAACAAACACAAACACAAACAAAAGCAGCAGGTAAATTTTGCATGTACACGCTCCAACTGAAATAAAAGGAACATCAGCAGTTTTGGTACCCTAGAAAACCACTAGAAGCTATTAATAATTTTGCTACGTACTGCAGAAGTACACCAGAAGTACATAGAAGAGTGAGGTTTCCTAGCTTCCAGAACCACATGAAAGAAGTGACTACAATAAAATAAAATAATCTTTATGCAAAAAATCATATCCGTCAGTCATTTTTTGTATTAATTCAATTAATTCAAAATTAAGTTATCAAACCATAATTTAGGAGTACGCAGACTCTATGTACTTCTTTATGTTTCTCAAAGCACTATTTTAGTTATGCTTTGATAAGATCCCCCTCCGTTGGTCTATTTTAAAATTTTTACTCTGCAGATTATTAATTTCACAGAAAGCTTCTGAGCGTGAATATTTGGTACTGCTAAAATTTAAAGAAATAGACATTTTTAATGCTGTGCTGAATAACTTTTATAGCATCACAATTCCTGTTAAATGCTGCATGCCATGAGGTTTAGAAAACAGGAAAAGGTTAAGCGTGCTCTTCAGCTAAATAGGACAACTGCTCACTAATGAGAATAAAAGGACTTTCCAGTCCCAAACCTAACTTCCCAGTCTTCTTCAAAATTAACAAATACACAAGAGCTAGAAACGCTCAGATGTCCAACTCTGGGCTAAGTCATCCAAAGAAAAAAGCAAGATTATATCATGCTTTACTTTAAAGCTGGATTTAAGTTGTTATACGTTAAATACTATGTAATACAGCTTGACGTAAAAATATTATCTGTACAACTCTGGACATTTCATCAGCTTGCAAGAACATTAAGACTCTGAGGTGGCATTTCTCAGTGGACACTTACCCTTTGGGAAAGTCTAAAGCTTTACACCTAGCAGAATTAGTGTAGATGAGCTTTGAGCAGAATCATCTTTTCTTAAATGTATTACGTACTTATTTCTTACTATGGAAATAGGAGATTTTCTTTCCCCATTACTTACTAATGACTTGGCTATTTCACAGCTCCCTCATTATGAAAGTAAAAATGGTTATAGGTCATCATCTCTTTAGCAAAGCAACAGAAAAAAATACTATCATAAGAACAATTACGACTGTAAAGCCCACACACAATTTAAAAAAAAAATACTAAAAATCACTTGACAAGGAAAGAACACTACATTTGAGGGTGTTAAAACCCTACTAATTGAAAATACTTTCAAGTGTAAGATGTTTTGGATTTTTTGATGAGTTTATGTCCATAGCTGCAGTCCTGCGGAAGCCAGTCAGTAGATTAATATGAAGACTTTTCTGTTTTAAATCTTATTTTGATTCATAGAAGTATCTGTAAAAGCTCACAGGGCAGTGAAATGCCAAACTAGCAAACGTACCTTACAGTAGTCCTTTCAAAAGGAACTCAGCCAAACATGCATACTGGTTGAGATGCTTTCATGCGCTCCATCACTATGGGAGGTATAACCTTATGCTGTATTTAAAACCCTATCCTATGTTTCTATGTATTTAACACAATCTACAGTCAGTCTTTCAGTTCTGGCCACTGATATTACCTCCCAGAACAAGGACTGAGATGAATGACCTATAAGTATCTATTTGTATATTTAATGCATCTGTGGGAGCTTTTCTAGCCCAGGCTTCTGCTTCATCTTACAAGGCAGAACCGCTCAACTTCTATTACAGTTCCAGTACGTAATGCACAGCAAGTTCTAGCGAAGTTAAGGCCGTGTTAGGGTTTACTGGTGCACTACAGGAACATGTGCACAGGCATCTGACCAGGAGCAGTTAGTCTAAGCAACATTCAGTGGGTACAAAAAATACTCAGAGATGTAAAACTATCAGCATAAATACTACTCATCCTGGAAGAGATGGCATCGATTAAAACCAAACCAACTCCTTGACATCCTTGAAACAGAAACTTTGAGACCAAAATCAGAGCATTGAGAATTTGGTGCAGTTTGGGGAAGAAATACTACAGCAGAATAAATTTCGTACAACTGGACAGATTGTGTTTGTGGGCAAAAGTGCAGCTTGGAGCACTGCTAAAAATGTACGGGACGGGGCAGGAAACCTGGTAGTGGCACTGCTAGCGGCCCTAAAGCAAGCAGAATACCAAGCTTAGTAGGAGGCCGAAACAAGGACCAACTCAAGGATGTCTCCTACAGGAGAAAATATATATGTGTATATTTATATATACACATACATACACACCCCCCCTCCTTGAACTCTGGGCTGTGGTTTTAGCATGTTCAGCTTGCTGCAGCCTCCTGCAGCACCCAGTGTTGTGTCATCAAGCAAGATGTCTTTTAACATGAAAAAATTAAAAAGACATACGATCTTACTCTGTTAGATTTCTAGACCAGAACAGAATCTCATACATCAGACAAAAATCATCCATTTTTAAACCAAAATTGAACCTCTGCTGGAATGTCTTTCTGAAATGCTATACAAGGACTGGCCATTAGATGTCACGTTTGTCCAGAATATGTATGATGACGTCTTCCACTAGGTTAATCCATAAAACAGTTTGCATAACAAAACCCCCAGTATACCAAGTTTTATAGAGTGCACAGAGCTAGCAAGCTAATCTGCTTACAGATGTTCTGCAGAACAGCTAGCAATCCTTAGAAACTATTGTTTCAGTGGATTCATTCAGGTACTTCTTGCAGAGCTTTATACCAAGTTACTTTCTAATCTAGTCTGGCTATACATTTTCACAAATTCAAGTGATTTTATTTCAATGTATTTCTGTAGGCTAGAATACTCACTTATTTACATTGTTTTTCCCACCGATATCTGGGGGTCGATTTCCGTAGAATTACAGAGGTCCTTTCCACAATAGAATTGATGGACAATCCGCTTAGGATACCTTTGTTATTCTTCCTCACCTCCAGCAAAGCATCCACAATTTTGTCCCTATAGCAATAAAAGAAAGAACTGTTTACATCACATTTCGTGCCATGCATTTAGTTACCGTGGATATTGTATCCATTACAAGTTAGGGCAGAAATGAAATCCAAATACTGTCACCTGCTAGCCTCTGGATGAATTTCTTGAAGTTTCTTCATTAATTTGGTAAAGCTGCTTAAGTTCAATGTATTAGGAGAAATAAAGGCATCATATGAATCAGTGGAGAAAGGAGCAGATGTTTTCTGCTGGAAGTTTTCTCCTGTCTCCTAGAATGGCATCAAAATAAGCAAAAAAGTGAATGGGCTAAGTATTGTACAAGTAATACAATACATCTTTACTACTAATAAATATTCCTGTTCTAGAAAAAGAAAAAAATGACAGATACAGATTCAGATCACTGTTATGCTAATACAGCCAGTCATATTATCCAATCTGTAAAGTAGAACTAAAACTACTACATGCATTTACATGTAAGCTATTCCTGCTACATTAAATTAGATACAATTTGTATTTCCCAGAGGACTAGCATGTTTAAAGTTAAATCACCAAAGGTAAGTATCTATATAGTTTATGAGAGCAAGACCAGCAGTTACTAGCTTTGCCTCATCCTCCGATAACCAACCTGAGCCAACAACAACAACAAAGTATTTATACAGACAATGTTTCTTTAGATTTATTTTTAAAACCCAGGAGTTTCCCCTCTAATATCCCCAAATCTTTCCTGTGTAAAATCACAAAACAGGAGGAAAAAACCCTCAAAATAGGAGGAAAGCAAGATGAAAAATCTAGTGCAAATGGCTAGGTTCCCAACTGGTTTAGGATTAAGAAAAAAAGATGGGAGTATCACAATTTGATGCAGGGGCAAATGATGGTGTTCTCACTCTTCTGCAGCATGCCAAAAATTTATTACTGACACATAACATGTTCTCCTATCCTAATATCATTCTATATACACCAAATGTAACATGTTATGGAACAAGAATTTTTAAGGCTCTTAATCTGCCATATAAAGGAGCCTTAGTAATAATTATTTACCTTTTGATGAACTCGAAGCAAAAAATGTACCGAATCTTCAGTAGATGATTTCAGACCAGGGCCCTTTGTTTCTGAAGGTACTTTTGTAGAGCAAGAAATTTTGGAAGAAGTTATGGGAAGGAGATGCATTTTCTCAGAAGCAGAGGTGGCGTCAGGTGCTTTTACAGAATTGGAGGCTGAAGTGAGTGTTTTATCTTGATCGTTTCTTTGACTGTTATCAACAGGCTGGTTTTCATGCCAGAGCTTACTTGTAAGTATTTGGGAAACCAAAGATTTGTTCTCTGATGAATTTTTTACAAGTTCAACACTTACTGGTTTTCCTTTTATTTTTTTCTTGTTCATTTCCTCTACAGCTAACTTTGCTTTATTAGTCTCTTCAAAGGAAAGAAATGCATATCTAAGACATAAAATAAAAAAAAAGGAAACCAAGTAAAACACAAATTATTAATTGGTAAGAACACACGATAGTTCTCATCCTTCGAATATTAACTGTATCTCAATTAAACTCAACAGAAGATTTCAGACTGCTTAACTTATAAGTTGAGAAGCTGTCTGGAATGACAAGTTTTTGTCAAGCTATCTCTATCTACATTAATTACTGAAACAAAATGAAAATAAATTAATGAACAACTCCCACCTCTCTCCCGTGACTCACTCACTTTGACAGCAAAAAAATCTGAAACAAGTAAAACTTCTATTAATATACCTGCAGTTACAAGAATCCACAGAGATAAGAATATCAGAAATCTGATACTTCTGGAAATGCGATCTTAAATCGTCCTACAAAATAGAAGCATATTTTGGTTGCAAATGTATAGTATGAAAGAATACAGAAAAGAGGCAAGACATTACTACTACCATGTAAATAAGAACAGGCATACCTCTGACACTGAGGAACTTAGGCCACCGACACGAATAAAAGAACACTCATTTCCACTTTCCATTATCTTCGCTTCTAATAAGAAACATAAAAAAGCAAAGTGTTACTATCTATTCTTGCTTCAGTTCAAGCTAACATCTTCTCTGTAGATTTCAGAAAACGTAGATAGAAAAGCTTTAAAAAACCTAAAGGAATGAAGAGTACCTTGTAACAGAAAATGAGGGCATCCTGAGAAGCGTAACGGTTCAGTTTGTGTTATCTCTTTTCCCTGTGTATTTCCTGAGGTTTGAAGAGGCATAAGAGGTATAACCAGAGAGAACACTGGTCTGAACTAACAGGTACCGGTGCTAAAGCATGGGTAGCGTACTGCGAGTCCCCACCATGGAGCACACAAGCTCTCTGCTTTCAACATACTGAGACTTCTAACCATGCCCGTCGCTGGGACCCAAGTCTCCAAACACTGACCATTCCCAGCTAACTCTTAAGAAGCCAGGATGAGGAAGGAGCAGAAAGAGGAGGAAGAGAGAAAAAGGAAGATTTCCAGCTACGGAACTGGCTGGACATTTACTAAATGGAGTTTAACTGCTGTAGGTAAAGTTTTCAAGGAAAAAGGTGGGTGAAGAGAGCTGCGTATCTGCACAAGGATTCACTGCAACTCAATGACAAATAACCCAGTTAGCACTGTTTCCAAGTATACTTGTGCTTGCAGAAGGAACAGAATACTCAAATAATAAACAAACACCATTACTTGGTACGGCAGCTTAAAGCACAGGACCTCACCTCTTAAATCAACCGTGTCTTGTTTTTCTTGTTGCTTTTTTGTTTCTTCAGCTAGTACGGAAAAATCTGCTACTGTCAAGTCCTCCTTAGCATCAAACCAATATTCATTCCCTTCTTCATTTTTCACACAGCCTTGACAGTTGAAATAAATTTCAGTGTGTTAAAATTCAGACCATGGCACGTCATATGAATGAAGATCAAATTTCTGTGCGTAAGAGGATTCCAGCTACCTACATGACTTGGTACTACATTACAAAGAGGTGACACATACTAGTTTTCACTTCTGATTTAAGTAGCAAAATGTTCTTCCAAGATATAAAGTATGCTATAGGGCTAATATGATGTTAAGCATTCCATCACAGAAAGAAAAGTTGAATATCCATATAGACTTTTTTCCAACAACTTAACTAACAAATAATGTAGTATTTGTCCTAGAAGCAGATCGCTTACCATGTTCCACGTCCTGATCTTTATGTTGTTCTCCAAATGTCTTGGAGAAAGTAGAATCACTTGGCTGACCGCCATCAGTTAAACATACAGTCTGTGGATTGTCCTACAAACATGTTTCAGTTATGTCATAGCACTTGCACCTGATTACACATTATTTTTCTGAGCTTCATAACATTAGTTGATTAAATAGGTAAATTTTAAAAAGGTAACCTACTGATTGCCTTCAAAAACCCCCAAGTTACTGTATTTTGAAAGGGCAATCAAAATGCTGGTCACATCAGCTGCGTTTGCTATTACTGGCAGAGAACCCCAGCTGGAGCCCAGAAGACTGTGATTATATTTGTGCAGATCTAAAAGGAAACTCAGTATGACGAAGTGCCTACCATGTTGACAGAAATTTTCCTTTCTTGCAGTTTTGGTGCTTCAAAGTCAGCTTTTCTTGTGCTTGAAACAGAACTAAAACAGATCCAAGAATTTCATACAAAATAGGGCACAATTTTAAATTCTACAATGATGCTGAGTACTCTGAAATATTAATTTAAATAGTTCCAAAAGCTCACAGTGAAATAAATAAAATGTGCTTAATAAATCTTAGCTTAAAATGAGAACCAAAGTTTTTTGATACCTGCATTTTGTAAAAGCATTAGTTGCAACCTGAAACATAAAGCTATGTTCTAGGTTTATGTTAGATTGTTTTTCCTTTATATCTAAATGGCTTTCTGTGTGATGTTTCGATGTATGTCTTCACAATTTGAAATCGCTGTGCAATTCTTGATTAATCTTACTAATGCTTAACCAGAAATTTGAAAAAAATCTCTAGTTGTTTACCTGATGCAGTAAAAACTTATTGCCAAATTTGACTTAATCTCCGCTTATATAAAATAACTGGACATGGTTCTTCAACATGCAGCACTATATGTCTGCTTGAAATACAAAGCTATTTTTCTATCATTCTTCATAACTAAATTAGAATCTTAGCAGAACACCTTCTTATATGCCTAATACCTTTGCTGGTAGAAAAGTCGCTTTGTTTTTGTGGGGTTTTTGTGGGTTTTTTTGTTTGCTTGGGTTTGTTTTTAAGGCAGATAGGATTAAGATTAGAGACAAAGATTTCAGTAGTAAAAGTAAGGAACCAGGAAAATTACATGTAAATGGAAAACCTTTGCTATAAAGATAGCAAAAAACCAACCCCATAGTTTGCATATTAGAACATTAGAGAATAAAAATTTCCTTAACATAACATCACTGTACCCAAAGTGCTACAGTTTGGAGCAACAAGATGCATCCCGAAATAAAGAAATTCTAACTTTAACATCTTTTAAACTCACTTCTCATTTATTTTGAACTTTAATAAATACCATGAATGAGTACTTACTCATAGCAAAAATCCTCTCTGAACAACTGTCAAAAAAAGAAAAGATTTGTCTTAGTTTTCTGAAGAAAACAGGTTATATTAAAAACAAAAAGCAATTAAGAAATTACCTTGCATGGGACATAAGAAGAGGAGATTGAAAACAACTTCATCTCAACTGATAGCGGTGGAAGTGCATTTAAAGGTATGCCCATTTTTATTTTCATTCTCATGCTATTGTAATTCTTTTTTAGCTCTTCCAAAACCAACATAAGAGATGGACGTAATTTGGTATTTCCATTAGATCTGTTAAAATATGTACAAGAAAATAAGATCAACTTAGACAGACATTTCATTTATTTTACTGCTGCCAGTGTTGCCCAAACATTTTACAGTATTTAAAGATTCCTCCGCATCCTGCCAAACAGGAGCTCACTCCTAACAGGCACAGTAGCTCTCTGGAGCCAAACTCTCTTTTCACAGCATTACTAGGTGCTCTCTTGAGCCCCCTCCTAAGCCATGGAGCAGACACTACGGTAATGAGGTGGTATAGCTATCCGTGGCACAGTAAAGCATTCAGAGGCAGGACTTCTGGGCTGAATTCCAGGTTCGTTACAGGGCGTGTGCTCGATCATCTAGAGACTCTGCAATTGCCACCCCCTCCCTGCCTCACCTCTTAACAATCCTGCACCTCCTCTCTCTTTCTGCTTTACCTCCTCCTCCCCAGCTCCCCCTCTAAGCATCTCGACCACTCCTGAACGAATTCTCTGTACTATTCCTCCTGTACAGAAAGACATTCCTAGAAACAAACTGTTTTTTGCTGGGTCTGGGAGCACTACAGAAAATTTTAGGCTGAAAATAAAACTCGGCAGTTACGAGAATGTAAACTCTTTTGGACAACAATACTAACTATAAGCACTATTACAAGCTATGGACAGAATAAATTGGTAGTATTTAGCAATTAATGCCTTTTAACAAAGTTATCAATTTTATTTAAAGGGACATTAAAGTACATGCCTGCTAAAACATGCATTTTCCTCCAAAGCCAGTTTGTAAATCTTCAAGCAGTGCTGATAGCACATCTGATAATGAGTGGTTAGAACCTGCAATTCTGCTTCAATGGCTCTCTGCAGTATTTTTTGACAGTAGCTTGATGCAGAATTCTTCACAGCTTGTTTGTCAAGGTGTACCGGCCTTAATAATAAGAATAATAATCATCATCATCATCATCTTGAAGCCCTTGAATCAAGATTTTACATTCATTATGTTTTATTTTCAAACAAGTAGCTTTCCAAAAGCTATTTTATACAATTTAAGGAAAAAAAATAAAAGAAAAATGAAATCAGTTCCTCCTATCTACTACACAGAAAAAAAATACATTTCACAGTAGCTTTTACATTATAATCAGCCTTAACTGAGAGGCGGAAGCTCCACGAGCTCAGTAATTTCCATCCAAAAAGTGTGGTTGTAAGAACAAAAAGAAACGTAGCAACTCTGTTCGTCTACAGATGCGCTTACTTTGTTTGCACAGTCACAGAATATTTAGGTTGGAAAGGATATCTACAGGTCTGCAGTACAAACCTCTGTTCAAAGCAGGGCTAACTTCAAAATTAGCTCGGGGTCTTATCCAGTCCAGCTCTGTTGTTGGGTTTGGGGTTTTTTGTTTGTTTTGTATCTCCAGGAAAGGAGTCTGTACCACCTCTCCAATGGTGTTCCAATACTGCTCTCATTGTCAGAAACAACTTCTTACATCCACTTAGAACTCCCCTCGCTGTAAGTGCTGGCTCTTGCCCTTTTAAAACACACCTCTGCAAAGAATTTAACTCCATCTTCTCGGTAATCCACCACCAGATTACCAAGAACTGCTGGGAGGTTCCCCAGCTCCCCAGCCTTCCCTTCTCCAGGCTGACCAAACCCAGTTCCCTCAGCTCTCCCCACACATCAGGTGCTCTACCAGCTCCCTTCACCATCTCCACCCAGTGGTCCTCCTGGTGGTCCTTTGCCCAGTCTGCTCATCTCTACAGAGACAATGCACTACAAGGCCCACAGCTAGAGATACCTTTCCAGATGCAACCTGACGAGCACCAAACTGAGAAGAATCGACACTTCACCCACTGGCTGCACTCTTGCTCATGCAGCCCTAGGATGTGGCTTCCCTTCTTCACCATACGGGAGTACTGCTGACTTAACACTCGACTTGTTCGTGGCCACTGCAGACCGAGGCTGCTTTGGTCTTTGTTCAACTTCAGGAGGTCTTCAGCTCATTCTTCTCACTTGTCCAGGTCCCTCTGAGAGGCAGCCCTACCCTCCAGCATAAGAGCTGCTGCCCAGCCATCTTTCAGTACCATCCGTTTTGCTAAACCACAGACAACCTTTCAATCATGAAAAAAATCTTATCCAGCATCTAGAATTCCAAACCAAGAACAATTCATGACCCACCTGTCAGTGCTTATCTTTAAATTGCTGCTCCAAAGCTCATTTTTTGATTCCGGCTGTTCCTAAACAAAAAAACATTTTAAAAAGTTACAGATTTACATTTGTATAGACAAATTCTGAGCAACTTTTAAGTTAAAAAAAAGTTCTAAATATCAAAATTGTTTGTTTGTTTGTTTTAATTACCTGAATTTTTGAACTTCTTTCAGCTGTTGCAGTATTGCCATCTGAGTGTTTTTCCGGTATCTCAGTAAGCTGTGACCAAATTTCCTCTGTATTACCAGGACCACATGACCAGTCTGTATTGCAAGCAACATCTGCACAGGTTTCACGGCGCCATCCCACAGGTCGAGATTTGTTCATCATTGTTATCTCTGTATTAATAGCCCTGGATGAGAGACAAACCTGAGCACTGGTACTTCTGCTTGTTGTAAAGCAAGCTCTAAAATCAGAACTTGCATCAACAGCCTGGTTAACCGTAGAGTCACTGGTAACTTTTTTCAAGTTTTCATGATGCTCCAACTCCGAGATCAGACAGCTGGTATTTCCACAGGAGGATTTATCTGCAACTTCCACCCCAAAAAAGGGATTCTTGCTAGTGAGAACTGCAGAGACTGGAAACTGGTTTTCAGGATCCTTTGCAGTGCAGTCAACACGGCTGGTACCACGTGCACACACGCCAGATTCTTCACAACTGTAGAAATCAGAGTCCCCTGCACGTTTGCAAAATTGCATGGCTACTGCAGGGGCCCTTCCCTGTGGTGACGGTAAAGGATTGTCTTGCTTCGCTGAGATGCTGTGAATGTGTCTATCACTGTTTTCAGATGCTTCTTCACTTGTAGCCATTTGGGGTGGCAGCATGCCATCCCAGTCAGTCAGGGGGCTGTCTTTCACCTCTCCGTTTTCTAAACTGTCACATACAAGCAGATTTGGACTTTCTTTACTCACACAGGAATGACTTTCAAGTATACTTCCACAAACAAGACTATGATACTCTGTCTGCTCTTCCTGATCATCACAAGCCATGCCATTGCAATCTGGCAGAGACAGAGAGTCTTGAAGCGGGCGGGGAAGCTCTGGCACAGCTGCTTCTGGGCAAGTTTGGTCACCTACGCCATACTCAGAAGCAGAACAATTTTCTGACACATCGAGATTTTGTTCCTCTGCGACTCCACGCCCTGGAGCTTCATGAACTGGATCTGTCAGCTTTAAGGTTTCGATACCTGTAGTTTCCGTTTGCCCAGAAAACTCACTTGAGCTATTCCTATCATCAAAATCTTGCTCGGGAGCACTGAGATACTCCAGCTGTGAATCTTCACCTAAATGGCTTTGTCTGCAATCATCACATACGTCGCAGTTGAAGTGTGTATTGTCACGTGTCCTTCCCAACATATCAGCTTCTTTCTTGCTTTCATCTACCCGTGCACGGCAAATTCTCATTCTCTTTTTATTATACATTTCAATATCTGCATCTAAAGATGAACTGAAACATGGTAAGCTTTCCTCTGACAACTTTAATTCTGAAACATTGACAGAGCGTGCCTCACCAAAACCAGAGTGGTTAGCTGCTGCTGCAATGTCTCTGACAAGCGTGTGCTCAGCTTCCTCAGAGTAAGAAAAAAGATGCGAGGTTTGATTGAAGGATCTCCTTTTGCTTTTAACATAGCTATTCTTTTCAAATTCCATGGTACAAACACTTAAGTCCTCCCCCTCAGAAGTAATCCACAACTCACTTCCACTACAACCTCTCAGTCATTGGCTTGTCTCTTCCTATCAGTTTCTCACCTTAATAAAAATAAAGAGAAGTTTGACATACTCCATGGTATACAGGAGGACATTATTGTTTAAAAAAAATGTTAAATTAACCATCTTATTTTTACCTCCTGCATGCTAGTATAGAAGCTAGGAATTATATGGTACATTCTCAAAGAAATCCTGAGAGCTCACAGAAGGCTGTTATAAGAATTTCCTGTTCTTGCTTGTGTGATTTCAATGGAATAAAAGCATCCTCAGAGACCAATCAATCCTATTTTCTTACACTCCTGGGCAAAGTTTCCATCCTCTTACTACTAAAGCATTTCTTGGCCGAATCATCAGAATCCCTGCTGGTACACAGTGAGCTATTTACATCGTACACTAACTTCGTGACAAGCACACAAAGTGTGTAGATGCAGGTACTGACTCTGAAAGACAGGATGCTGGTGGTCATGGATTCAATGGCCAACCACAAACTGACCTCACATTGTTCTTGACTGCATACTGGCATGTAAGCAGTAAGCCTATAAGCACTCTTTGCCACAGAAAGCTTACAGCTTCTTGACCCATGACCAGTATATTTACCTTAGGGAACATCCATCAGTCCAGGAGCTGTAAAAATTTTAAAAACTACTTCAATGACTGAAAAGGTGAACTTAAGAGCTCTGTGCCTCCCAAGAACTAAAAAACCTCAGGTGTTGGACAAGGGGAAACGGAAACACACTCCTTTTAATTCCGGGGAAAACAGGAAGAAATGGTCATCAAGCACAGAACTGTAAGAAAACCCGAGAATCTTTACAACCACAAAGTCTAAGTCTTAAAGGAAAACAGGAAGATGGTTTCTTGGATCAGAGCACTTCTTTTAGTGACAGAAGCTGGACAATACACCAAACCAAAGCAATACATCTCCTCTGGACTTGCAACAAACCTAGTTTCATAGCAAACATGAATGAAAAGCAGAGAAGACACATGTAGCAACAGAAGACACTCTTTGTGAAGCTTGTTTGTTATAAATAGTTGTCAATTTTTCTCTGCCTTGCCCCAGGAGCTTATAATGAAGAGAAGGATATATACAAACGTCAGACACATTTCTCAGTTACTTATGCTTTCTAAACTACTTAAATGAAACCTAACAATTTTCTGTTATAGTTACTGGTCCCTATCCAGACTATAATCTTACATAAAGCACAGCAGAATACAGTCCTGTCTGTAACTCCTTCCCCTGCCATGACATGCAGGCCAACCAACAGGCCCATAAACTGGGTTTCACACTCTTTGAAAGACACAAGTCACTGGTTTATCCTCCAGAGGAAGCTTCCGGTTTGGTGAAACGCAGGCCATAGGGAACGGAGTGAAGTACTGAAGCAAGATACAGGCTGCTGGTGGAGGCATGAGGGGAGACTGGAAACTCAGGCCTGTTTCTCGGCCGCTGCTCAGGGATTAACACACAAGTAATGCGAGCTCTGTCCACTCCAGGTATAAACAGCATGACCCAAGCCTCCTATCTGCACAGGAAGGTTTGCTGAATGGACCCCTATTGATAACTGCATGAATGCACTTCCTGACAGGGAAAAAAGGCTTCTCTCAAACCTGCATCCACCGATTCTTGTCTGCTAAGGATCATCATCAAAATGACATCATTTAAAAATCACTTAATAAAAATCATTTAAATCATTTAACAGAAGTCATCAATAGCAGTCAGTCACCCGGCAAAAAAAAAAAAAACCTTACCATGATTTCTTACCATGAAACCTTACCATGCATTTCTACAGTTATTTTTGTTTCAGAAACATGAGCTTTATTACACTAACTTTAACTTCATTTCCCAACTGAAGTTTTGAGCATCTACATCTGTGAAATTAAAAACCTTGCCATAACGCTACTGAAGCACATCTCATATGTTTTTACATAAGTCACAACATATTACCGCAGAGAAGTGACTTCCCCCCTCCTCACTTTTTCCTTCAGAACAAGGAACAAGAACCACAATAGCTCTACCTACGTCCTAGATAAATAACAATAACCTTGTTGTTACTACTGATGACACAGCTAGAGGCTTAACAACAGCCACGTGGGTTAAAAACGAGCACTGATATTAAAGCACAGCTCCCAGGCCACAGCGCCGAGAGCCACAGCTGAGGCCCCCGGGGGAAGCCCTCAGAGCAGCACTGTGGCCCCGCTCGCCCCCTCAGGCGGGGAGCCACGCTTACGGCGCTCACCCCGGGCAAGGCTGAGGAATCTTCTTGCTCCCTAAAAGAAGCATCCCCCTGTCCCGTCCCCTCCCCGTAC